CTATTATGAAAATGAAAAAGAGTCTTTGGGAAAGTTTAAAGAACCGATATTCACACTTACGGAACTGTGAGCAGTCTCCGAGTTGTAAGGTCCAGCAGCAGCATTGGCCCCAAAAGTAGACACAACTCAGATCGGAATATCAAAACTGCAACTCCTGATGTCCAAATGAGAGGGCCATGACGATGCTCTAGCCAGTATGAGAAGGTGAGGAGGGCTGAAAGAGAAAGCATCTTCATTAGTACTGAAAAGGGAGGAATAATTTGAAGAGGGAATAATTCTAAACCATATTATATATATATATATATATATATATATATATATATATATATATATATATATATATATATATATATATATATATACATACAGTAAGTCCCCAACTTAAGAACATAATGGGGACCGAGAGGCTGTTTGTAAGTTGATTTGTTTGTATGTTGAAAGTTGGGTCTCCATTACCTTTTTTCCCATTTTTAAAAATTTTTGTTTACATTAAGAATACCTGTAAATAAATCCCAATAAGTACAACATACCTTATACAGTAACAGACTCTTGAACTATATTCGTGCCCAGGAAATTTGAAGTTTGCTAGCATCTTTCAAGCAATTTTTTGGACTTTAGTACTTAAAAAATTTTGTTTGTATGTATGGAATGTTCAAAAGTAGAATGTTCTTAAGTAGGGGACTATCTGTATGTATGTATGTATGTATGTATGTATGTATGTATGTATGTATGTATGTATGTATATATATATATATATATATATATATATATATATAGATATATATATATATATATATATAACATATATATATATATTATCTATATATACACATATATACAGATATGTGTATACATATATGCATATGTATACACATATGTATTATATATATACATATAAATAATATATATATACATTTTGTGTGTGTGTGTTCGTGTGTGTGTTCGTGTGTGTGTTGGTGTGTGTGTGTGGTGTGTGTGGGTGTGTGTGTGTGTGTGTGTGTGTGTGTGTGTGGGTGGTGTGTGTGGTGTTCGTGTGTGTGTTCGTGTGTGTGTTGTATGTATGTATGTATGTATGTATGTATGTATGTATGTATGTATGTATGTATGTATGTATGTATGTATGTATGTATGTATGTATGTATGTATGTATGTATGTATGTATGTATGTATGTATGTATGTATGTATGTATGTATGTATGTATGTATGTATGTATGTATGTATGTATGTATGTATGTATGTATGTATGTATGTATGTATGTATGTATGTATGTATGTATGTATGTATGTATGTATGTATGTATGTATGTATGTATGTATGTATGTATGTATGTATGTATGTATGTATGTATGTATGTATGTATGTATGTATGTATGTATGTATGTATGTATGTATGTATGTATGTATGTATGTATGTATGTATGTATGTATGTATGTATGTATGTATGTATGTATGTATGTATGTATGTATGTATGTATGTATGTATGTATGTATGTATGTATGTATGTATGTATGTATGTATGTATGTATGTATGTATGTATGTATGTATGTATGTGTGTGTGTTCGTGTGTGTGTTCGTGTGTGTGTTCGTGTGTGTGTTCGTGTGTGTGTTCGTGTGTGTGTTCGTGTGTGTGTGTGTGTGTGTGTGTGTGTGTGTGTGTGTGTGTGTGTGTGTGTGTGTGTGTGTGTGTGTGTGTGTGCGAGCGTGCGTGTGTGTCTGTCTATACTGCCCTTTTTCCATCACACAATCAGGCTACCATTCCCACATCATTCTGACATTCCATTATCACACCACCCTACTGCCATTTCATCATCATACCATCACTTTGCTATTCATTCAGCACACAATTATCTTGCCATTCTTCCCTCACACCATCACTCTGCCATTTGTTCATTACACCATCACTCTCCCATTCCTACATCACACCACCACTCTGCAATCCTTTACTACACCACAACTCTAGCTTTTTTCCACCACTATCCCTCTTCCACTCTCAGCCTTAATTTCCTATTCCTCTATCCTACCACTACTCAGCAATTCCGCCATATAATTACCCCATCACTCCTTTATCACACCATCACTCTACCATTCCTCTATACCACCATCACCTGCCATCCCTCTGCTACATCACTCCCCCATTCCTCCACCACACTATCACCCTGTCATGGTGTCATCCCTCCACCTTAGTGCCACTCTGCCCATCCTACCCATCCACAAGCTTTTGACAAAGAAATATAAGAAGTTATTTAAAAGGATAATCAATTACTAACGGATTACTTTCCTAATAGTATTCAGTCTTCACAATTATAAAAAAAATAAAAAATAAAAAAAAATAAATGCTGTTATCAGCCATCACTACACTATATCCCAACAAATATAGATAGGGTTAAAAGAATATATATAAATACATTTTGGTCTTCCAACAATCTCTATTTTTCAAATATATGGTAGTTAATTCCTACAGATGGACTAAGACTTACCTATAGCAAGAGCAAAGG